TGTTATGGATAAATTTACTAACAATCAAAAAATTTGCGTATAAATACTACATTGTATGGAAATAACTATTAAGGCTAATGATTCAAATGTTTCTTTGACTAGCGAATACTTCAGTAGGAGTTAACAGACATGTTTTTTTTGTTTTGTTTTCAATGCATAGTTCTTAAAACAACCAATAACATAACTATTAACTATTTCTACCAGCGTTCTGCAAGATTTCAGCATTATCATTTTACAGATCGTGACCTTGCAAAGTTCTCTTTTATTTTTGAATAACTTTTGAAATATTTATATTCCAAATATCCAAACACAAAGATTGCTTTTTTTGGCAAAAAATATAAGATTTTCTTAAGGTTAATTAACGAATAGAGTGAGTATTTGTGATACAAGTCAATTCTAATTTTATCTGAATTTTCAATTATTCAAGAGAAATATATTTATTTAAGATTAGAAGATTTAACTGATAATATCTTAAAAATCAGATAATCTTATATTACAATAAAATCGAATGATCGAATTTATGATCCTGATGATTCTTAAAAGTAGATATCAATGACAATTATTAGCTAGAAAAATGTGAATGAGATTGATTGATCTATTCAGAAGAGACAGACAATAAACTGTAACTGTGAAAAAATATTTTCTTAATCTAGAAGATTTGCAACGACTTGCTTGTTGAAACAAAACACAAACTAAATTGATAATTGTCCCAAAATCAAAAAAAAAGAAACACTTCTTCAGAAGAAAAAGTGAAGAATACAACGAATTCCTAGACAATAGAATGTATGGCTTTGTAGATGAACCGAAAACTCACACCTTATTGTATATATTTTCTGTTTAAATTAAATTTTATGAGAAAAAATTTCTTTATTTTATTTCGTCACATGTATGCAAAGTTTACTGTGTCAACAACAAAAAAATATTTGAAACAAAGTTAAATAAGTTAGAACACAAAATTTAAATCACGAAAGTAGATTATGAGAAAAAAGTTTTGAAGCTAATCGTCTCTCCTATTCTCAGTAATGAAAATAGAACAGGATTTAACATCATACTATTCATTGAAACAACGACTTCTTCCATAAACAGATATTAGTAATTTTGAAAAAATGAATAAATATAGATAAGCATATGAAAAAAAAATGATTAGCTAAGATATAATCATTTTTGTAAAGTTGTGATGATATATGCGATTATCAAACGATGCTCGATGGAATATTTTGCAAAGCGATCAGTTTACATTTATGAACATTTACCAATAATCCAGAAATAAATTTAAAATAAAATCTAAATATGTTTGAAGTATTCTAGAATGTGTTTACAAGCCTTTTAGTATCTTTAGAATGTAACAGGAACATGGTACAATCATTTTCTTACAGAATATTCTTTAGTGTTGATCGGATTTTCGTTATTTATGATTTATTTTTTTCTGAAGTCAAGCATTTTGATGATTGTAGTGTTGAGTTTTAACTTATGCTTTTCATTAAAAATATTCTCAGAAATTTACAATCTAAAATAATTTTACAGGATAATACCGCGCTTGTCCGACATCGAACTGAACTCGAACCTGTGAAAGTTGGTTTGATTCCTTTTTTGGTAGTTATCGTTAAATACTGTCCATGATAAATTGCTTTTTACATTAAAATATTCAATTTTTTTCTTTATTATGAAATTTTTTTTGTATTGATAAGAAAATAATAAAAAGTACGAATAATAAATCAAGAAAAAAGAATTGTTATTTGAATAAAATAAAAACAATTGTGTAGTGCAAGACTTTTTGAATTTATAATTTTCAATGGATTTTCAGAAAACAGTTCAATAGGATGAAGTATGGTAGCTGCTTTTACATATAATCTACTAAACCATATCGATTCAAAGATTGTAGATATGTTTAAACAAGATATCAACATCTATACTCACATTCTTCTTGATATTATTAAAAGTACTGGTTATAAATGCAAGCTTTAATCCAGATTTGTGCAACTTTTTCTTAAACTCTAACGACATGGTTTAGAAAAAGTTTTCGTTAAAACTTCATTGGCTAAAATATGTTTAATGGATACATGTTATCGACTTATTTACTAGTTAAAGCAATGATTGAAATCATAATAAAACAGACGATATGAAATATAAATCAATAAGCCAAACAGAAATTAGAGCACAAAATAAATGACAATCTATTCTGATTGGTTTTAGAAAATTTAGATATGATTGTTATAATAGAGACCGATTCTAGTAAAAAGAAAAAAAATAGATAAATTAATTCTTGTTGCTATTTTTCCATTTTATAAATTGATATTTTTAGTCTTTATTGAAGGTGTGGGTATGGATGACAGAGAGAGAGAGTATATGATTCATCAACATATCCAAACAACATCTACATCCACACCGTATTTTGAACGTGTTCAACTAAATCAGCATATAATTTTTCTGGATTTGATTCATGTGTGAATGCTTGTTCATATGGACGTCAATGTTCAATATTCGTTAACTAAAATAAATAAAATAGATTTTTTGTTTTTTGTTGATACAATTGATATTTGCAAGTTTTCTTTTAATATACCTGCAGATACTATTTTCGATCAGCAATAAGAAATAAACGACTGTCTGATTCTTCAAAACGAACACTGAAACGTGATAACATCAATAAAAACCTAAAAAAAGTAAAAGATATACTATATTATCAATGAAAATTCATTTTGACA